CATGTGTATGCTAGATAAGCTAAATGGGATAGTTTTGTGTGACCTTTAGGTATAAGCATATTGTTTAATTCTCTCTCTCTCTCTCTCTCTCTTCCTCTCTCTCTCTTTCCCCTCTCTCTCTCTCTCTTTCTCTCTCTCCCTCTCTCTCTCTCTCTCTCTCCCTCTCTCTCCCCTAGAATCCAATATTCGTATACTTCTTGAAGACAAATGCTCTTCTGCTGAACCAGAAGATGAAGAGATAGACGGAGTCGAGGAGGGAGAGGAAGAATACGAAGAGAAACTCAAAGAAGACAAACCAGGCGATGCTGAAGACCCGGAGGTGATAGAGGTAGAGGAGGAAGATCAAGTCGGGGAGAAGCTAAGACAACTCATAGAGATTGTAGAGGTATGCCTCACTTCAAATCAAGGAATGCAGTCGACTGAGTTGACCAGAGCAAGCCTTAACTTATTGAAGACTTATAAAAGTAAGGAAGAATGTACATACTGTACATTACTGTACATACTGTACTGTACATACTGTGTGTGTATGTAAATTAAAGCTTAGGTTTCTATTTTCTAACTTTAGCTTTTATACACAGGCTTCTATATTTAGTGCTTTAATTTGGCCGGGGTTTATTTTGGTGACTGGCAATTTGAAAATATACTTGATATGCTTTATTGATATAAAGTAGGCTTTCATTTTCTTACATGTATAGCCGACATAGACTTTTTAATTAAGACATGTATACATGTAGTATGTACATGTGCATGTATAGTGGGCCCACTGGCTTTTAATTAAGACTGTTTTGCTTTTTTTTTGTTTTTTAGAAGTTACTTGTAATTTTTTTGGCTATTCTCTTGTGCATGATCTTTTTAATTGGATCTCTCCATCATTATTATTATTTCTAATGTGATTTGAATTCTTGTAATTGTATCAGTTTGGGTGTTGTGAAAATGTCATACCACAAAAATGCAACCATATTTAGACGTGCCATTTGTACACGTACATGCGTAAGAAGAGTGAATTTTACTATAATTATAAATACAACATATAAATGTATATCTTTTATGTTGTTTTTTATGAGTTATGATCTAATATTTTGTACATGAATATACATGTATTTTTGATTAAAATCACATACATGTACATGTATTTTGTTTATTTTTGCATGTCATGTATAGATATTTCGTTAAACAAGAGGTATTCGTGTACCTCTATTCCTATTAGGGCATTGAACAAGCTTCATTGATTCTATCTTACCTCATTAATTGTTAGTAGTCATACTCGACTTATTAATTACATTAAAAGGCCACGCCTACGGGTACGCGTACATGTACATGTATAGGCAATGAGTGATTCGGGGAAATTTTTAATTAATCACGACTCTAATACAATGTATATGTGCATATACATAACCGGCGATAAGCATAAAATATATAACATGTACGTACTTGCTAAATTTGGAAATGCCTTAATTTTGTAAATTTGGTTGTGGACCGTACATGTATGTGACTTTTTGTAGTACATGTTCATGGAGGGTTTCCCATAGGATTTGATATAGTGCTTGAATATGCTATTGCCAGTGAATTTTAAAGTTGCTCTAAAATACT